TCAATAAATAGAGCTTCAGTTTCCCTCGCCAAATGAGAATGGGAAAAATACCCCAATCTTTAAACGATTTAGTTAACGAACAAAAAACAACGATTGTTCTTCTGCACAAAGGGAAAACGAGGAAAAGGCTGCAGTCGAGTGTCGCGACTATTAGATACCCGTTACTCTTAGAAGGAAGTAAGAAGATTGAGATATAAGATATAAGATTGAGATATAAGATGGTGAAAGGGGGAAATTTATTGCTTTAGTACCACAGATCTATTGAATATAAAATCTGAAACTCAATCAACTCCAGAAAACATGTGACATGTTAATCCACCAATTAATCAACTATATCTGCTTCAGTGCATAGAACTATTTAGAGCTTCAAGTATTTCTTCCAGTGTCCCCCGAGTAATAATCGCTTAGCATTAATGCAAATCGTGGCCATTATGTCAGAGATCGGCGATTGCAGCCGATGAAAGCGAAAGTGTGTCAGCGGGATGGGTTTATAGGTGGCCATTAAGAGCAACTGAGACAGCTGGAGACATCGGCGAAGCGTGACAGATTCTCTGCAGGTCGTTGCCCACAAGTGCGAGTGAGAGCGGCGCATGCGTGCCGCCTGCCCAGTGAAATGGAATGGAAAAGTGCGAGGGAGAGAGGTGGGGCTCGTGAGGGAGCACGGGGGACTGCAGTGACTACTTTCACTAGGAACGAGACCCAAACCGAAAAAAAAGCTCGATAACATAACTTTTCACAGCTCTCTTTTCGATTGAATATGACTCACGATCAGGCAGTTTCTATCGATCGGGTACACCAATGTATATAAACTCAAGTACCCATATACCACTATGGTGGTTCTAATCGGCTTAAGTGCATGTCATATATCCATAGCCCGCCCCCTCGTTCGACAAAGGTGGGCGTAAATTGCCGGAGCAAATGGCATTTCTGCAAGGAAGTTGTAAATCTGCTGCCAAATAGAATTGTGAGCGGCAAAAGCGTTCATTAAACTCCAGGTCCCGCTGCAACATAAAAAAAGGAAATATGTTCAAGGCTCTGACAGGCAGTCAGATATCTATGCCCTTTTCGGAATTATGCATTTCAAAGATATTTCCTTAAGACAGAAAATAAAAGTAATGAAATCAATGTGCCTGGTACATAGTATTTTCATAATATAAATTTAAAAAAAAGTAAGCCAACAAAAAACATATCTTAACCTTGTTTGCTATCACCAAATGTCACTTTTAGATAAATGCTTAAATTACTGGTTAATTAAAACGTTTAATATGTGCACTTTCAGGCGAACAAGAAATCCATTTTCTTTTATGTGCTGTTTATTTATAATTAGAACCTTTAATCACAAAATTTATTAGTCTATAAAGTTTACTACTTCCTAACGCCCATTTTGGTTAGGGTATATGACCAGACAGACTCTTCAAACTTCATTGAGAAAAACCTTTTGGGACGTGCGTGCACAATACTCGGGTTTTACGACCTTCTGCAACGCCCACAACAAAGCCGTTGCACTGAGAGAAATGCAATTAGAGAGCCGTCGAGGCGATGGGTGCTGAGAGGACTTCCACAAACGTCGTCAGACGTCAGACAAACGCCGGCTGCCGGCCCACACACAGATCACTTCAGGTCTGGTCTGGTTCTGGGATATGACTTCAACTTCAACTCCAACTCCAGCTCCAAAATCCCAGAGTCTGGTTGCAGGCAATTAGGGGGCAAGACTTATAGCCCCGTCTCAGTGCTGCCAACTTGGCTATGTGCTGGTTTAGGCTGGTTGCCACATGTATTTCCTACTTAAAGCAGATCCAAGCCGTTACCTTATCAAAATACCTTATTTCTGAAATGGCACTAGAACTTCAAAGATAAATAGAATTCCCATACATATATACTATTAGAAAGGAATCACTTTTTCAAGAAAATAACTGTTCGCAGCACTTGACTTGGCCATTTCCTGCGATCTACGACAACACTAACTGGGTGAGGTAATGCCATTAACATCCAATTGGCCAATGAACCCGCCGATTATGAAACCGAACTCCATGCCAGCGGTTAATTAGATGAACTTCGTCAATTGCTTTAATTGGGGACCTTCTGCCCTGCGGCTGCGGAAGTGGAGCACTGCAAAACTGACCTCTTAACTTTTGGGAATTTCAATTGGCAGCCACGCACATTCCACAAATGTACATACACACACATGTATGGCCTTGTCGGCTTTATCAAAAAGTCAATAAGTACCTGCGGCGAAATCTTATCAACGCCTCAGCCCGACTACCATCGATATCTATTAGTATATATTGAATAAACCAAATATGAAAGCCAGGCCAGCCAAATAAATGTCACAAGAGAATCGACTTCGAACCGCAGGGCCCAAAAAGGTTTCCTCAGATCACAATCTTTAACAATATCGAATGAACAGACTCCCGTGGTGTTTGTGGTTACCAGAGGTAATTCAAAGACTTGACCTGGACCCCGCCCCCTTGCTCATGCACTTGTGTCCACAGATGAAAATTTCTTATTGCCCGTTTTGTTTGTTTGTCTGAAATTGAAGTTGATGTTGTTGAGGGGCAAACAAACACGAAGGCGGAAAGGGCAAAAGAAGACGGACTGGTGACATTTGATAGTGCATGCGATATCTTTCGGCGGGTTCTATTTATAGGTCGATGCAATCGGTAATATCCTGGACATGCGGCTGGCAGATGGAGTCACATTTGGTGACCCCGCCAAATGCCAGCCACTTGCACAATCGCATCTGACTTATGACTTTGCCATCTAAGCTCGTGGGATCAGCAAAACGAACCTACCTTTAAATGTTCCAGTACCCCCGATCACCCATGCATGATTCACTCGCCCTGCTCATGAGTATATAGTTAATATAACAAAGGCCACATGCTGAATTCGCAGGGTTCGTTATCAATAATTGACGCACCATCTTAACCCGTTGAAAACTATTGCCTTGGGTCTTTTTTATGAAGGTAGTTCACTAAAAGTTCAAATTGATTTTAAGTTATACTCTTTTTCCCTTTGCTAATTGGTTTGAATAAGGGTTATTTTAAGTTATTAGAATAATAATACTTTTCGAAGCTACAATAGATTTAAATGTTTAGTTTAAAATTAGATTTATTTCATTTACCTTTTCTTGGTATTAATTGATTCTAGCATGTTTCGCATACTTCTTTGGCCAACCGTGGGTTAACTAACAGAGCTATTCACAGCGCTGTTGTGCTAAGGGCGGTGTTATCTAACATCCGCTGTTAGCGGGCGTGCAATAATAATAAAGAAAGCCAACAAAAGAAACGAAGAGTCAAGACTTATGACTAATGCACTAATTGAATGAAAGCTTTCGACGGGAAGAAAAACAAATGCAACCAACATGTGCCCCAAGCCGCAAGCAAATCGGCGTTACGAATTAAGTGGGTCAGCAAACCGAATGGAGCCACCCAAAACATAAATTGCAAATCCCAAGACAGACCTTTTCTTGGCCACACTTGTATGGTAATGTGGGTCAAAATGGCCCGAAATTATGTATTATCATTAAATTTCATTACAACCGACTTTTCGAGCGCTTAAATAATGTCGAAAAATTTCGGACTGCGCAAAAGCGGAATGCAAAAACAAAGCGAACCCGTTACACCGCAATTCACGCAATGCCACCACTCAGTGGGTTGTTATTTTATTTTTCCCCCCACTTTTTGTACAGTTATGGGAACGGAACGGAGCCGTCGAGCCACCAAATGCATTGGCCCCACTCCCAGCACCAGCACCAGCCCCAATCCGCAATCCCCATTCCATCGCCATCCCCCAACCCGACGAGCCAAAGAAAGCCAACTTGATGGTCTGTTCTTGTACGCAAGTCCATATTCGGAGTTCGGAGTTCTTGGAGAATGCGTAGAGTCTCCACACAGGAAAAAATATACATACTAATATAATATGTACGTTATTAATAATTAGTCAAGGAAGTGAAATCTGCAACACCCACTTTCAACCCAGCCTACTGTGAAATGCGATATCTTAAAGATATACTTCTTATATGAATAGTGCAATAAAAGCTGGTTTTTATATATTTTGTATGTTCTGATGCCTTCGACGATGGATTATTAAGATTTTGATTTAATTTGTTGATTTATATTCAAATAATACGAATTTTCTTTACGATTCCTACTACATTCTATTCCCTCAAATGCTTTTGAGGATCAATTCCCCATTATTGTGGCTCAAGAGCTGAAAAATCGTAATACTACTCGTTCTCTGTGATTGATAACTGATTTTTCCTCAGTGCACCTCCCCAGCCCGCTGAGTCATGTCATTTCTGCACGCAGAAGTTCAGTGATCCCGCTCGCTTACCAAAAAAGTCCTCCCATCTCTCCGAGGTGTCCGAATCGGATTCTATGTCCATCTTGGTCTCCTCCGGCTGCTTGATTTACGATTTCCGAGTGCGTCTTGTTTGGTTTTGGTTTTGGCCAGATCTGGTCCCTCTCTCCTGATCGGTCTCTAAATTTAGACGGCGATTGCAGAGCAACTGACACTGAAGGAGGTCGTTATTATCGCGACTACTTTGGCTGCTGCATTAGATATGGCCCCAGATACAGTATCTAAAACGGGCGAATTGTGGCCAAATGACTTCACCCGGAGCAGAAAGCAGAGCGGAAAGGCAAAGCTCAATCAATGGCTAGCCGATAAGATAAGCGCACGATTTAACTTTAAACACTGGCACCGAACTGTGCGATTTTCTTTTCCGTTTGTTTGTCGTATTTGGACTTTTTCGCATGTACCAGTACGAGTATCTGGGCTTATGCACCACTAGTTGCCGATATCTTATCGCGGTCTACGCAGCTCCAGGGTGAGGCAAATATCCAGCAGGTACGGAGGCATTGTGGCCAACAGCTGGTGGCCAGCGATTCGGAATGAGAATACGCGAATGTATCTCAAAGTTGCGCTCAGTTCTCGGAACTGTCGGATGACTAAACCGGCTCGCGAACTTGTGTCTCTGGTTAGTTTTATTATTACTTTTATTGATAACTTCTATGAGCGCTTAGAACAAATTACGGGGATTCTCCAAAGCGGGCCACACAAAAACAACCGATTGCAAACGATCGATGATTGAATTAAAGTAATGGGCTCTTCACTTGCTATTTGCGAAACCGAAAACAAAACGAAAACACACAAATTGCAGATACAAGTATCTCGCGCTTCGCTGATTTTCCAGTTTCTCTCGTGCAAATCACCTTCGCACCGTTACTTCTAATTGCGGCAAATAGAAAACACTCTCGTCTCACAGATACGACTGCACTTGCAGATACACTTGTGTATTTTCCAATATAATTTTGGATTTTTTCTTCCGATATTTTTCTTTTCTTTTCTTATATTTTCCTTGACGGGTAGGGGGCGGTACACTGGCACACACACGCTCATTCGCTGGAACAGATCAAGCGCCCCAGGAACGACATATCCATCGCGCGTCTCAGAGTAAACTAACTTACTTGAAAGATACTCAAGTCGAAGAGCCGAACACGAAGTCGCTTCGGATACAAGTTCTCTCTGGTGCTCACAACCGATGCGATACAACCGATGCGAAGATCGCAATGAGTTGTATGTGCGTTCCAAGGCGTTCGATTCCCAACATGGTATGTTTCCATTTTCTAAGCATGCAACAAGTGGAACGAACTGCAACTCCTAGCAGTCGTGGGTGCACGATCGACAGCACCACCAGGTTGAAATGATGACCCATTCGTAGTACATCTCGACTGGATAAGGAAATGATATATATCACTTTTGTAATCAACAAAGTCCAAAACTTCTTCACCCTACTTACTTATGCTTAGTAAACAGCCTAAAAGGAGGTGCAGAGGGTCCCAGAAGAGGATGTAGAGGCGCGCCATAAATGCGACGAGAAGCACCAGGGACACAATACCTATGGAAAAGGACAGGAGCATGGCACAACACATATCCTGTTGAGCAGCGGTTGGATGTGGTTACAAAGTAAATGGATAAATATATTCACTCACCCACATGGTGCCGAGGAGAAGAAGTATATTGCCTAGGGTACTGATAACGCCAAAGACCATTGCCAAAATCACAAGCAATATTTGCTCGTTGCCCTTGACCAGCTCGAATAGACCCACGGAGAAGACCATTATGGCTAGAAGCAACCCCGTAAATCCAATGACGATGCAGCCCATGTAGAGCGAAAAATAGCCGACAAACAAACGCAGACACATTTCGATGTTTCCTCTGTGTTTTGACTAGAAATCACAAGCACATAATTCACTAGAATTTTGAGATAATCTTTGGTTATCAAACTGGGCACTGCTTACATGTAGACATGAAAAGATATATTGGTTGTAAGGAATAATATTGCAAATAACATATTTGATTATAAATAAAATGGTTAGATTTCGTATTGGGGGCTGCAAAATAATCAAAGTAAAAAACCTGATTTTCATACCTACATATGTATATAAAAAATATTATCAATTAAATTGAATTGTTTAATATTCTTCTTTAAGGTATTATTCCCAAATTTATTTCAAATTGAGGTTTTGGCGCCTAATGCAGGAACAGCTGTTTCAGCGGCAACGCTTGGCACTTATCGATAACCAATCTGGCGTTGACCAAACTATCGTTTCCAATTAGCATTCTTCGAATCGAAGAATTAAGTAAATAATGGACATATCCGCGCCTCCAAGCAAACGTGCTCGGAAATCACCCCAACTGGATGAAGACATCACTGGTATCCGGGCCATCCTCTCCGATGAGTTCGACGAGGACATTGCGCTCATCAAGGCGCACAGTTGCCAGTTGGAGACTAAACAACAGCTGCAGGCGGTCATCCAGGAGCTCTCCCAAAAACTGCCCCACTTTCAGCACCTGAAGCGTGTCCAGGATCGCAGCGTGCTCATCTGTCCCAGCTCAGAGATCGGAGTAACTGAAAGCCTGGAACAGCATCTTGAACAGTTCGCCTTTTCGGAGCACGTGCTCCGTGCTTTGTGCCAGGGAGTCCGCGTGGTGGAGGTGCCAGAACGGATGCCCCGGCTGCGGGTGCAGTACGAAAAGACACTTAAGCACTGGCCCTGCAAATTTCACCCCAATCACTACTCGGAGTCACTGAGGAATGGCAGCAACTTCAGCTCCGCACAACGAGCATTTCATAAAAGGATGGGCCAATTGCTTGTGAGGCTCTCGCAGGATGTCAATGCCAACCGGCCGGTGGGCATCTGTGTGGATCCGCGACTATCCAGCATTGTTTCCATTGCTGGAACCGGTGAAGTTTGTAAGCCACACGAGCACTGCTGCATGATGCTCGTCGATTTTGTGGCTCGCAGTCAAGAAGGAGGCGCCACACAAACGGAGGTAGTATTCACCGAAGATTCCAAGGAGGAGACCACTTTGCGGGGTATTCCTAAAGCCTACTACGATTACCTGATGAGCAATGCAGACTACAAGAACCTGACATTCGGGGCGGAGAAGTCGAGAGAATGTAAAGAAGTTAATGTAGTTCAAGGAGCAGATAACCTGGCCAAATTCGGACCCTATCTGTGCACCGGCTACGATGTCTATCTGCTGCAGGAACCCTGCCTTATGTGTTCCATGGCCCTGGTACATAGCAGAGCGAAAAGAGTATTTTTCGTTAAAAACTCTGACAATGGAGCTCTAGCCACGAGATTCCAGCTGCATTCGGTGCGGGAACTCAACCATCACTACGAAGTGTTCCAGTTCACAACAGAGGAGAACGAAGACTTGACGTAACGTTTAACAAACCTTGGTTTTAATAAAGGATTTATAGGATATCTTCGATTTTCGGCGTTGTTTTGGCCGTCGACTGGCGGGTGGGCGTAGACAGGATACCCAGCAAATGGCAATCTGCCTCCAGAATGGTAATGTCCTTGGACGACCCCAGAAACTTGGTAGACAACTCCAAGTCCTTGATGCGCAGTCGGACACGGGCTCCTCGTACGTAGTCGCTGAAGTAAACGAGTGGTTCATTGGATAAAGAAACGGGGGATTTCATTGAGCTCACCTGGCATTGCGAGTTGGACGACTGCAGACGCAGTGGAACTTCCAGCCAAAGTCTATGTAGAGATCATCGCCCACCACATGAAAGATCTTGCCAGTGACCACCTTACCCTCGGCGTTGCCCAGCTGCTCCAGAAATCAACAGGTTATTACATAAACAATAGGATTACTTAAATAAAGTACCCACATCTATTAACTTGGAGTTCCGTAGCAGGGAGGCGAAGGTCTGGTTGTCCTCCGGCAGCTGTGGGGGCGTGGCAGGAGCCGTATACTTGTCGAAGGCACGGGCGAATCCTCCCTTGCTGCTACCTGTCTCCGCCGTTTCCGTATTCACTGCGGGAGTAGCTCCCTCCGCCGGTTTTTCCGTGTCCCCGCTGAGAAATCTAATGGCCATTGGCATACGAGCGCGACAGGTTAATGAAGCCATCGGTACACCGGATCTACTTAGTTTTTGCAACAGCGACATGTTTTTTATTTAATATTTCTTAAGTATATCCACAAGAAACCAAAAAACCAAGTGGAAAACTAAAGAAGAGCAGCATCGATAGACCGCAAATCGATTATTACCAGCTGCGTCGGCTCATCACTAATCGAATATTACAAAAAACACGCTGCCGGCATTTATTTTGATATTACGAAATCGGTTGTAAGACGTAGGTAATTAACAATTAAACAGCAAAATGATCCAGCAACAGAGGCAGCGAATTGAGGCCGCGGTGACGGATATGATCGACGACATGGACAAGACGCACCTGCGCAAAATGCAAGTAAGTGGGGAGTCCTCTTTAAGGAATGTCCTAAAACCGACTTGCTTTTCACCAAATCCCAGAACGAGATGCATTTGTGTGCGGCCAAGTGCTGCCAGGATGGAACCTCCAGCGTGGACAGTGTCCAGAGATGTGTGGATCGATGCTCCGCTCCCATGACGAGGGCACAAAACTACGTCCAACACGAGTTGGGGGAGTTCCAGGGCAGACTTCAGCGTTGCGTCATGGTTAGTATCCATCACACCTACTTGTTGCATGCATAACATATGTTTCTTATTGCTTAACTAATCCTAGCCAGAAAACGCATATCTTCATAACATTAAAAGAGTAAATTTATGAACTAATATATTTTTCTTCCACAGCAATGTAACGACGATGTGAAGGTGAAAATGCCGCCCAATCCCAATGAGGACCAGATAGCCAAGTACACCGACCAGTTCGAGCGCTGTGCCATCCAGTGCGTGGACAAGCATGTGGGCCTTATTCCCGGCATGATGAAGACCATGAAAGCTGTGCTCTCCAAGGGACCCGAGAGCATTCCCCAAGTTTAACTCAGCCTGCATTTACTACCTAATTAGTTGTTGAACTCGTTTATTTTAAATCCGTGCAATGTATCGCATCCATGGAGTTTTGCTTACACTTTTAAGAATACAGAACAAAAATTTACCTATTAATTGTTGAAAGTCTTAAGTAGCAATCAACTGTTGTGCTAAGAATCTTCGGAAAAATGTCAAGTTTTGCCATCAGTTAGAAAAATAAACATACCTTGTACACCGAAATCTGTCATATCAGCATTTAGTTTTGTTCTTTCGAAATTGTTCAAATTTTTAAATTGAGATGGTGGAGCAACAAAAAAAGCGCCTGGAGGGTGCCATCAGCGAAATGATCGAGGACATGTACCGCACCCACTTACGAAGAATGCAGGTGAGTGTGCCCTCCAGTTGCCCAATATGAATTGCCGGTACGTGTTCCAATTCCAAGTCCACGATGCACCGCTGTGCCGCCCGCTGCTGCGACGATGATCGAGGGACGCTGGAGAGCGTACAGAACTGCATCGAGAAGTGCGCCGGACCCCTGATGGATGCCCAGGACTTCCTGCAGCACGAGCTAGGCCAGTTCCAGAACCGCCTGCAAAATTGCGTCAGGGTACGAGCTTAAATTCAAATTCCTAATGTTTTAGATAATTAGATGCTTGGCATTAAGTTGCCCACCTTGATAGTTACATCATTGCTTACTGTTACGATTGGTAATACGCAGGACTGCAACAGCGATGCGAGGTCCCAAATGCCCAGCAATCCGAGTGACCGGGACATGTCCCGATCCCAGCACATGTTTGAGAGTTGCACGAACAACTGTGTGGACAAGTACATAAACCTGATTCCTGGCTTGCTCAAGTCCATCAAGCAAACACTGGACAGAGGTCCACCGAAAAGATCACGCAACATGGATGCCTAACCGAGATACAATCCGCGGGATCGGTGGGCATTTAACTCAACATTCAAGGAGTTGTCAATGGTTCACTTATTAATTGAATATATTTGGTACAGCTAACACTTAAAATACACTAATCGGAACTGCGATCCGGGATAGCTCATGGAATGATTACTTATCAACGGCAACGTGGCCCTTGCTCTCCATTTTTGATTGCTTAACTCCCGGATCTTCTTGGGCCCTAGCTCATTAAATATCTATTAATAAAGATTCTTAGTAATATGCAACAATACGAGAGGCTATATTTGAAGATCTTGATGGATCTACTGCTCGTTCTGCTTCGTCCTCACGCCGTACTTGCTCCAGAAGGTGACCTTGGCGGTGGTCTTCTTCAGGTTGTCCTGGAACACGGAGCACGTGTCGAAGGGTGGACAGTAAAGGTGAAGGGACACAGAGGTGTCCGAATGGCTGGGGTTCTCCACGCGATGCAAGCCCAGATTGTCTATGGATAACAAAACGAAGCGAACGCAGTAAGTATAGGAAAACACGAATTCCAGTTTCTAATTTCCTCACCATTTATGTAGGCCACATCATTTACGGCGATTGGTGTCTCTCCAATCTCCACCAGCTCGCGGCTGTCGATCTCGCCATCGGGATGATGGGAGCGGCCGTTATCCCTGGCAGATCTATTGGGATACTCATAGCGCTTCTCGCGCAGATCCCCCTTCAGCATCTTCATGAAGCAATGGGAATCGGCATGGTCGTGCACCGAGGAGCCGTGTCCTTCGCCCCAGCACAGAATCAGCAGATTGAATTTCCCATTGCCGGCATCCACAAGATTCCGCGTGTAGGTATAACGATCGAACTTGGCATACTTGCGCCACTCCCGGGGATTGGACTTGTAGCTCAGCATAAGGTGATTCACCATCTCGATGTTAACATAGTTGGACTCGAACTCCCGATGAAGGGCAGCCACCAAGTCCGATAGGGAATCCACCGCGGGTCCGTACTTCAGGGGTTTCTCCAGCGCCTGATAGTAGCTGGTGGCTTGACGCAGGTACTTCTCCTGGTCAACCTGCTCGATCTCGGAGTCGATCTTGGACAGGGCCATTTTGGGCTTGCTCTGGTTGACCTACATTTCGAAAGCGAAGCGGAAGTTAGAGTGGTGCAACAGTTAAGGCTGAAGGGCGTGGAAAACTACCTATAAAGTCTACAAAGATCACTTCTCAATTGATTTAGATGAATTACGTTGTAAAGTCGATGATCGCTGATAATAGCTATGGGTATATATATTCCGATTCGTTGCCGTTGAAAATAATTGAATTACTTCAAGTGACCGCACACGCTCCACCTCGGATCGCAAAATTCCAACTGAATTCTGGAGATTTCGCTCTCCTGTCCAGGCTGCATAATCAGCTCGCATCGGACGTGAATCGGAGGCGCAAGACCCAAGCAATAACAAAAACAAGAAGTCGCCGGCGATAATCGCCCATCCATTCCACTTATCAATAGCAGATTTTGCCAATACCCACAGCTATATACATTTCTAAGTGGATAGATCGAATGTTGCCAGGAGGAGCTCAACAGATGTGCCTGAATTTCTGACAAGAGGTTAACGGCGAACTAATGGGATCGTTTGCAAATAAAAAACAAATTTATTCCACATATATTCTGGGACCCAAAAATATTGGGTGATACGGGTATGGTGACTGATACGCTAATGCCAACTGATAACTGATAGCTGGTTGAATCTGGATGCTGACGCATTTGGTTTCAATCTGCGGGTCTTACCATCAGGGATTTTCCCTCGAATTCATAGAGAAAAGAACCGTGACTTTCTCTAGTTTGGGAACTGGACTTCGAGATACTTTTTGTTCCAATAAAATATTGCCTACTTTCAGATTCGTTACAGATTTCACTTAACTGCATTTCTCAGCAGATCAGTCGAGTAAGGTTACGATGCCTTTGTTGTTCAGGAAGTTAATTAGTGACTAACACTGACTTTACTTTCTCCATTAAATGCTGAACAAAGCAAAGGGTTCTTTCATTGTTCTTCCTAACACGATAGGAATGACTCCCATAAACGGATTATATAACTTCAAGTGAAAATTCAAAAGAAAGAAAACACATCATCATGAGTGGAGTGGAGTGTCAGCAAGTGAAGTTGCATGAAAAGTAATAACTTTTTACGATCCCCAGGCCCCGTTATTAAATATTTTTTCCTGGGTGCCACATTAAGGTATTTCGTTTTGGTATTTGAAAAATGTTTTGCAATGGCCAAAAAGCATAAAACTGCCAGCTTGGCAGCCAACTTTCGCAACAGGTTAAGGCCAATAGCAAAGTCGTAGCAAAAACTAAAAGCTGCGAACTGCCATTTGTGTAAATATTATGCGAGCAAATGGCTTGGAAAATTGCTGGAAAGCCGCTGCCAATTTTCGAAACAGTTCAACAAACGGATTTTCGGATTTTCCTACAGCTTCAGCAAGGAAACTGATTTTGTGGGGTCTTAAGGATAAAGGACTTACCATTTTGTTTGACTTGATGGATTTTTCTCTTAGCAATAGCAACTGAAAAATTTTGTTTGAAATTGAAATTCACTTTTGAAAAATACTTTGGATTTCAGGACTTGGATTGCACTTTTTCGACTTTTCACTGGGTAGTTGCCACTTGGATGCGCGCCGCCGAGCTTATGTGCCTGTTTTGGGTATCTTTCACCAATTTATGAAGATCTTGGCCAGCAAACCCCGGGTATCCACTCAAAACGCAATTCGAGTGACAAAAAACGACGCTGGCAGAGGCATCGCAGCTCGAATAGCATTTTGAGCGCTTTTTGAGGCCGCGAGCGAAACTCAAACTCAACTTGGCTTGTTGTTGTTTGCTCAGTTGGCCAGGCCCGAAATTTATGCTACCACTACTGCCAAGTCGATCCGAGGTTGAGCGGCCAGATGCCACATATCCAATACATTTCTCCCCCAATCCAACTATTAATATTAATTATGGAGCCGTGCCGTTTTTTTCTTTCTCGGCCGATCTTCTTTGGTGTTTGCGTTTCTGGCCAAGAGAAATGGCCGGGAGCCTTTTGTCATAGCCAGTGGATGGAATTCTCTAGCTCCATTTTGGCCTGGGGTCAAAATGATGAAAGGTTTTATCAAATTGCTTGAAAACGCAAACGAATTGTGTGTCAAGTACTTGTTGCCAATATTTGTTCAGCTCAAAACACTTGGCCTAAAATCATTTTGATATATTAGAGTGGTAAATTCGAGATATTTCATTTTTTGTAATGCTATTTAATAAAAATGTCAAAAACTTTATATTCCTGGAATAAAATTATATATTATATTTTAAACATTTCCTTAAAATGTAACAATTATGAGCGTATTTCTAGGATGCCATCTAAGTTAACCGAGATATCTTCACCAAATTAACATATGCGATCAGTTCGTGGCTTTCTAACCAGGTTTATTCAACTTTGAACTATTCTTTTGCATACCTGGCCCACTATGTAAATCATTTGCATATTCCCAAAACAATTTTATAGAAGCATTCATCTTTGTTTGCGTGTTTTCGCCTTGAATAATGCAGCTAATAACAAATTCAATGACCGATCGGGAACCGAAAACAATATTTTCATATTTGTCAACCACATAATGGGAATTCTCAGAACAGAAAAATATTTTCGCCTTAAATGAGTGCTCTTATCAGCAGAAAAGCGTTTTGTGCAAACAAACAAAGGTTAAAGGCTGCGACTTGTAAATTAACGGAAATTCATAAGTTCCCATACTTAAGCACTTTTATTATAACCATTTCCAATAGTAAATTTACACTTTTCTTATGTCTAATTTTCACATCAATTTCGTTTGAATGATTCACAATATTCTTAATGACTAGATAAAATAAAATCATTGAAGTACACACATTTTTGGTATAAAAATTGAACTCTAAATGCTGCAGAAAAATAAAGCCACAATAAGCTGGATTTCATATTTAATATACTGCTTTGAAGGCAAAATCGGAGCAATTTTATTAGATGCAGCCTAATTCTCGTCATCATCGGACATGTCGAATTCTTCATCATCAAAATCGATAATCTGGTCAAGAAATTAAACAATTTTAAATGAAACCATGCAGATTAAAAGCAAAAGTCGAACGAACCTCGCTGTTTAGCCTCTTGAATTCGGAAATACCAGTCAAATCCTCCAGATACTTGGCTGTTTCAAAAGTTTTTAACAGGAAAGCATGACCCTCTTTTTTATATTGATCCAGAACGGCCTGTAATGCGATACAATAACACTCTAAATTGTTGCAAATTTAAAAGATTGACAATGCTCACCGCTGAACAGGCTATGCACTGAGCAAACTTTTGAGTAGCGGGCAGAATGTTCTCGTAGTTGCACAGCATTCCTCGAATGGAGTGAGGCAAAATTCCCAGCAGACCTTCCGGCACCTTTCCTGCCGCCTCCTCCGACTTGCCACGCCCACTCTGTGCGTAGTAGGCCGGTGCCAGCTCCTTTCGAGGATGCTGCAGCAAAGCCACCAACAATTCCACCGCGTAGCTAGCCGCAATGTTGGATACCCCGGGTCGTGTCACGGTGCACTGTTGATCCAACGTGCGGTCTTTGAGCGACTGAAAATGGAACAGTAGGATGTGCAATGAGTATCTATATCCAAATGTGACGTAAACATTTAACGTTTACACAGCGAATCTATAAGCGATTTTTAGTCAGAGTTTTTTTCAGTGTGATTTGAAACTTATTCGACGCCGGTGCAGTAGTAAGATCAAGAGCTTTTTAAAGCTTTCTAGTATCCACGAACACATGCTCTGATCAAACAAAGATGACGCCTACGAGCGAGAACAAAACAAATAACAGGGCAAAAACTCAAAGTGTTGAAACCTAAGCGGTTGTATCCGTTACTCAAGTAACCCGCCGCTCCGTCCACCACTGATTAGATAAGATTTTGGCGTGCGGGAGAGGCGGAGAACTCCGGACTCTCCCACGGACTCACAACTATAAAATACATTTTGTGCTTGCTCAGTGCAAAGGCAATAGCTAGTTCAATTGGTAATTGCAGGACGGAATCATGTTAACCGAATTCGCTGGCAATCTTTCGCATCCTCTGGAGTTTGGTCATGTCTTGGAGGTCGTGGCCAAGACCATCGATGGAGCAGCCAGGTGAGAGGTGTCCGGTATTAGTGTAAGACTGCTTTTGCGGTTTATAACTAATTACTTGTCAAACTGGGCTTCTTATCAGTACGTGACTAATCGATTATTATCATTTGCTGGTGTCAGGTTCCACATAAACCTCTGCACGGCCAAGAGCACGGTCGACCTTAATGCGGATATTGGTCTACGCTTTTCATGCTATTTTCGGAATGATGTGATCGTTAGGAATTCCAGGATAAACGGCGCTTGGGGCGAGGAGGAGACTCATGTCCTAGACCCCAACACTCTGCCCAATCCCATCGTCAGTGGCGAGTTCTTTCTGGTATACATCCTTTGTTGCGAGGACAGCTTTGCCATCTCGATAAATAGCCGGGAGTTCTGCAGATTCCGCTACCGCATGCCGTTGTCTGCGATTCGTGCTCTGGAGATCCGTGATCAGATCCAAGTCATTAAACAGGTGGATCATCGCACTGTGTTTCCCAATCCGTGGCCCGCCGTCCACGCCTCGGACTACTTTAAGGCGTTCAGTAACGATCAGCCAATTTTGTTTAGTCCGGGCCATGTGATCGTGCTTACAGCTCGGTGCTTCGAGAACAAAAAGGGACAGTTTATTATCAAGTTCATGGACTCGGATACCAAGCGCGAGGAGCTACACTTTAGTGTGCGTTTCGATGAAAAGGCAGTAGTACGCAACTCCATGAACAAGAATTTTGAGTAAGCTTCATAATGTCGTGCCCCTCTGGGTGTTAACTAGCTCTTTTTGCAGATTCGGAACCGAGGAGCGTCATGGAGGCTTTCCCTTTGTCTTCAATCAGCAATTTAAGCTGGCGCTCGCCTTTACGGAACGCGAGATTCTGACCGCTGTGGACGGTTATAACTTCTTCAGCTACACCTGGCGCACGCCAAGTGCCATGATGAATCTAGTGGGTTTCAAGGTGACCAGCATAAATGGCCTGGTGGTGCAGATAACTGGTGTGGATCACCTGCAGACGGGGGATCCCACGTGCGCTGGCTTTGAAAAATATTCCCGTCATGATTACGAGTGTGTTTAGTAACCAATTTAACCCAACTAATGAAGTCTGAAAATACAAGTGCTATCTTTAACTATACGATAAACGGAACTTACATTTCCGGGGGCCGTCACATCGTTACAAAAGTAGCAACCCAATTGATCACCATTTATGCACTTGAGTCCCTCGATTTCTTGGCCAACATCGCCTGCCTCCGTTCGCGTAGTGCCATGTCGCATTACCAGATAACTATCAAAGCCTAAGGCTGCATTGATGACAATCTGAAAGAGAAAAACATTGGGTATATAACTTCTGGAAGGTAAATATGATATGATGTTCCCACTTTTTCCTTTGCCGCTCCGAGCAGGGTGGGCAACCAGCGGCTTTCGCGCGAATCCGTGAGTAAAAAAATGACATCATGGTCCTGAACAAGCTGCTCGATAACCTTCAAATGCTCCTTCGTCTGGGCTAGAAGCGATTCTCCAACAGTATGCCCAGGCATGGGTATCTCCAACACATAACCCGCCGTTTCAGCAGACGGATTGATCTCCTTCAATCTCTGGGCAGCTGTAGTGGCCTTCATCCGATTGCCCGCCACAGCATCTGCATGCATGTAGAGATTCTGACGCACTGGATTGGAGAACCCAACCTTGCCGCTGTCCAGAAGGGTTATGTGCTTAAATCCCCAAGACTAAGAATATAACAATTAGTTATGAGGTCAGTTAAATCATTTCAAATCAAAACACACCAGCAGATTTCTAGCTACAGCGCATCCTAAGGTACCAGCCCCAAAGAGTAGGCATTTTGTTTCGGTGATGATTTCGAGATTAAGATCGGGAACTAGACGCCACTTCATTAATTTCAGGTTGAGGTTTACAGAGTTTTCAGCGAGCCTAAAGGAAAAAAACAGTGTAATACGCAAGTTACTTTCAATTGTCGTGGTATTGGATGATTATGGTATCTAACACTATGGGCACACCGTAAAGAACTGATAGTTCTTATCATTTGTGTCTATAGCTATTATCTTACTTGGCTGGATCCATGCTGTCCCTCATGCTGACCATTCTTGGGCCCATTTTGCCATTTTTATTTAGCTCCCAACCCACGAACTTTATATCTCCGCTTTGGCTAAGATCGCAAGCTTCAGTTTGAATCACCTGCCATACAAGGCTGTCGTCTATGCTCATTTGTTGATTGTGTCGCAGGCCAAGAAACTTTATTGGTTTTCCAACTAAAGAGGGACTGTAATAGACCGACAACTTTGTGTACTCATATCATTAGTTGATGTCACTACCTACCATTGCTGAATCAGAAATGCAGCGTAGTTCCGCATTATCCAAGCTGGATGCTCATATTCGCTGGGATCGGCAAACCCAAAATAACAAAGCTCGATATCCTTTTCGTCGAGGGAACTCAAATTACGGGCTTCAAAGACATTGCTCTCCACGTTAGCATACAGGATGAAAAAGTTCTGTGACTCAGTGGGAAGGGACTTCAGGGCGCTTATATAGCTACTACTATTGGCTAAGTCCCGCAGTTTTTGGACGGCGCCCTGAAGCTTTAAGGTGGGCGTTAGCGGGCACGGAAAGGCGAACCAATAGAAGTAGCTGTGACACTTTAAGTCGGCAAAGGAGAGCACAAAGAAGCGGGTCAACAGACTGGGATCCCTCAAGGCTGCACCACTGCACATATCAGCCAGCAGGGCTTTGCCCTCATCAACCAGCAGTTGTAATTTGTCCAGGGCTTTGAACTCTTCGATTGTGTTTTTATTGTAGATGGTGCCGATAGCGGCATGGCTGAATTTTGGTGGCTGGGCCGTTCTGAAATGTGGGTATATAGACGCTGGTCTCATTAAATGCGTATATCCCAGCTCACCTGTTGTAGGCCGTGTAGTCCACTTCCAGGAGACACCCACTTGCATTGCGGTTCGTATAGTGGCCAGTAATGGAGCGTTTCGAGTCGGACAGGCGATCGTAGTCCAGCTTAAGCTCCGCTAGCTTGTGCCAGAAAGTGGGCGACACGAAGGATTCCCACGGAGCGAATTGCAAAATAGTCTCGTTTTCCGTACTCATGTTTTGCTCAGGGCGTTGTTTACGTTCCAACTTTTGTCTGCAAATAATAAACAAAGCTCTCGATGGCGATAAACCAACAACAGGAGAACTTATCGATAAGTATGGTTGAAGCGGACACTCTGTTCTTTTGGCTTACTGAAAGACATCCTCTAACTTCTTAATTTTGTAAAGTTACGGAATAAATAAGAATGTTGTCTTATTGAATTAAGTAACATTAAACCTACAAAATTTTAAAAGCATAGGAGAGTTTATGTTAGTTCCACTGTACTAATCGTACTATCGAAGTGAGATGGCTAGCCGCACGGCACTACGGTCACACTAGCACTTGCACTGCTGACGAAGATTGACCAAAACAGAGACCGAAAGTGAACCAAATCAATTAAACATGGATCTGCAGCAGCTGGAGGAGCAGGCTCGCCAGGCAGCGCTCAAGGACATACAGAACATGCTGCAGCGACCAGGTCAGCTGGAGAAGGTGGAACAATATCGCCACCGTATCGCCCGGAAGAAGGCCTCCGTGGAGGCGCTCCTCAAGACCGGGATGCAGGGACAACTCGACGGGGTTAGGGTGGGACTGAAGCAGTTGGAGACCTGCATGCAGGACGTGCGCGAGGTGAGGCGTCGAATGGACGAGGTGGAGCGTCTGCTGAGGGGCGTTCCCGAGGTCTACGACGCTTTGGAAGTTGTGCGGGAGGAAAACACGAAGCACTCGCAGTACGCCACCGCCATGGAGAACCTGAAGCACATCTTCAACGTAGATGCCAGCGTCCAAAAGACGATGGCGCTGATCGAGGACGACAAACTGCTTAATGCCCACCAGTGCCTGGCGGATCTGGAGAATTCAAGGGATGATCTCCTCTACGAGCTGCACAAGCAGCCCAAGCAGCATGCCTCCGACAAGATCACCCTGAAGCGGCACTTCGAGAAGGTGGACACCGTTTCCCAGGAGCTGGAGAAGAAACTGCGCCTCATTCTAAGCCGCACGCTGAACACTCTGCGCAAGAAGCCCACCATCATAGTTACCGCCCTTCGGATCATAGAGCGGGAAGAGAAAAACGATCAGTTCGCCCTGCAGCAGCAAAAGGTCACCGGATTTCTGCCGCCTGGAAGACCAAAGGCTTGGCGCCGCATGATCATGGACGTGCTACAGCAGTCGGTGGTAACGCGTATAGAGGGGTCCAAGCTGGAGGAGCGGGCGGACAACAAGATGTGGTTAGTACGAGACCTGGAGATATTGCGCCAAATCATTCTCGAGGATCTGCGCGTAGTAAAGTCTCTTTGTGTGCCCTGTTTCCCGCCGCACTACGACATTTTCGGCGAATACGTCAAGTTCTATCACGAAGGACTTTCCAGCTATGTGAGTGAGCGCCAAACATTTAAATGGGACAATGTTTTCTTACCCCTGATTATTGTATTTTCCAGCTTGATAATATTGTACGCTCTGGCTTGGAGGGCAATGAATATGTATCAATGATGGCTTGGGTAACACACACCTATCCTGGCGTGGAGCTGATGTCCCATCCCGATCTAAATGTGGATGTACACCGACAAATAGGTACCTTGCTGCGTCCGGAACATCTCAAAGCGCTGGAGGATGAGTATCTGCAAAATATGCAGAGAAACTTTCAGGAATGGATGACCAAGGCCGCCGAAACGGAGAAGCAGGAGTGGTTTACTGAGACAGTGCCCGATCAGGATGAGGAGTACTACCACACTTCAGCGCCGGTTATCATATTCCAGATGATCGACCAGCATCTACAGGTGACCAACACGATTCATCAGGAACTGACGTTCAAGGCGCTGGTAATGAGCATTCAGCAGGTGGAGATCTTTGGCCAGACATACCTTAAGAACGTAATCGAGCTGAAGGAGCACCATTTCCGCAATCGGGACCAGATTAAGTACTTCACTCACTACATTATCACCATAGTGAATAACAGTCAGCAAATGGTTGAACTGGCGCAGCAGATGAAACAACTCTACTGGCCCAAGTCGCGTACTGAGCACTATGAGGATTTCGAACGTTTGCTTGCCACATTCCAGCGGATCCGTGCCCATGCCGCAAGTTACTTGCTAGAGGAAGCCTTCCTGGACATGGAGTGTCACTTTAACGACCTATTTACCGCCAAGTGGCTGGCCAGTAACATTGCCGTTGACACCATTTGCGTCACGCTGGACGATTACTTCCAGGACTATAACCACCTGCGACCGAACAACTTCGAGATGGTCATCAACGAAGCCCAGAAGCTGCTGGCCAAGCGCTACATTAGGGCGCTGCTCTCCAAGCGACTGTCAAAGCCACGAGCCGAGTGCGATGCCATCACCCGAAAAATCAAGACCGAATCCAAGCGGTTTAAGCTCTTTTTCGAGAAAATCGCCCCGAAGATTTCCCTCAGCGACTCTCCATTAGATCTGATATCCACGCTATCGGCACTGCTCAGCTCGGACATCGAACTCCTCGTCTTGGATCTGCACACATTGCTGGGCAGCTATCCGTCTCTGAACGAGGACCACCTGGTTCGACTCTTCTACATTCGCAACGATGTGAAGGCGGCCGAGGTGCGCGAAAAGGTGCAGGATGCCATGAAGTCGAAAAAGGCAATGGTCAGCATTGCCAAGCAGGATTGCATCTTTAAGGAGATTGTGTTCAGCGACAAACTGTGGTAGACCCAGGAATACTCTTCCCAACCCATTCTGCATGTCCCTTTTTGTTCAGTATCGTGTTTAATCTTAAGCTGCGATTGTAATATTATTGTGCTTTATCAACAAATAAATTATTGTATACATAATCTCAGAACCAACTTCTAAGCAAATTATGAAAATCAGTCGTTTTAGTTCTTATAAGTATAGATATTTTGTGATGGTGGATATTTTGCACTGAGGATAGATCTTTGTCCGTTTAATAGCTAGAGTGTTATCACTGTCGGCGAATATAGTGTTGTAACGGGCGAAATGATTAAGAACCGGCTAGGCGATAACATCTGGCAGGAGTATATATATTCGCGACGGGCCCTCTCCACGTGTCAGTTCCCCACGATCCGCCTACCCAGACAAGATGAGCTACAGAGTCCAGCCGAGCGGCTTCGCCACCAAGTCCATCCACTCGGGCCAGAGCCCCGAGCAGTGGAAGAGTGCCTCCGTGATTCCGCCGATATCGCTGAGCACCACCTTCAAGCAAGATGCTCCGGGCGAGCACAGAGGCTATGAGTACTCCCGCAGTGGAAACCCCACTAGGAACGTCCTGGAGACGTGTTTCGCCGCCTTGGACAATGCCAAATACGGGCTGACCTTCTCGTCGGGATTGGGAGCCACCACCGCTGTGCTGACTATGCTGAGCAGCGGCGATCACATCATCATGGGCGACGATGTGTACGGAGGAACCAACCGCTTGATCCGTCAGGTTGCCAGTCGCCTGGGAATCTCAGCCTCCTTTGTGGATCCCACGAATTTGGATCTAATTAAGACCTCCATCAAGCCGGAGACCAAGTTGGTGTGGATCGAGTCGCCAACTAATCCGTTGGTGAAGGTAGCCGACATCGAGGCTATTGCGCAGCTGGTCCATGGAGTCCGCGAGGATCTCATCCTGGCCGTGGACAACACCTTCCTCACCTCCTACTTCCAGCGACCCCTGGAGCTGGGCGCCGATCTGGTCTGCTACTCCCTGACCAAGTACATGAACGGTCATACGGATGTGGTCATGGGTGGCATCACCATGAACTCCGAGAAGCTCTACAATAGCCTGAAGTTCCTGCAGAACGCGGTGGGCATTGTGCCGTCTCCTTTCGACTGCTACCAGGTCAACAGGAGTCTTAAGACCCTCTCACTGCGCATGGAGCAGCACCAGAAGAATGCTCTGAAGATTGCCAAATACCTGGAGGCCCATCCATTCGTGGAGAAGGTGCTGCATCCCTCTTTGCCCTCCCACCCGCAGCACAAGATCGCCCTGAAGCAGACCTACGGATACAGCGGCGTGTTCTCCTTCTACATTAAGGGTGAGCTGAAGCACTCCTCGGCGTTCCTCAAGGCCCTCAAGGTGTTCACCCTGGCGGAGAGCCTGGGCGGCTACGAGAGTCTGGCCGAGCTGCCGTCCATTATGACGCATGCTTCGGTTCCGGCGGAGGACAGGAAAACTTTGGGAATCACCGATGGCCTAGTTCGCTTGTCTGTTGGACTGGAGGATGCCGAGGATTTGATCAAGGATCTGGAGCAGGCCCTAGAAATCGCATCCAAGGCCTAAGTTACTCACATCACATGTATTTTTCCACGTTTTTCTTGGACCGGAAGCTTATAAATTTGTATAATAATAAACCCAATAAAAGTGCTTTGTCTCAAATAAAATTATTTATGAACACCTCTAATAAATATACAAATGCACAGATGTATATCGATCGTCTGGGCTGGATCGAATGGATAACACGGCGTGCTATCAAAGAGGATAGCGAACTGATAACATGTGGGCAAATAAAGCTTTGTTATTTCGCTATTGTTGTTGATACAATGCTCGTACTCAGATTCAACAATTGTTGATGTCTTGATAAGGCAGCTGCATTTGCTCCACGACCCCCCATAGTTACAGCCTTGGGAGAACCAAAATACCCATTGTCATGTCGATAGCCATACGCAAACAATGAATCAGCACATTTAAATTTGCACCACCATTTAATCATTTTAAGTCGCGATAGAAGGAAATCATATCTCTCGAACGGATGTTCCGATTTGTGTTTACAAAAGTTCGTTTGCCTTTCAGATTAGAGTTTAAAATTTTTGGATTTTAGTTTAAGAATGCATTGTTTAAGTAACGAAGAAAAACAACACAAAAATGTGGTTTTACTATTACCAAGTTATGGATTCTTATCAGTGTTGCTTATCAGAATCATTACTTTCATGAGGTCTTTCATAAGCTTTCGAGCCGTATGGCAAGTTCATAAATATGGTCTGATTTAGAATGCGTTGCTTTATTTCATTTTAGAATTGTTCGAAACATAATGATGAGAAAATTGTGTTTATTTTAACAATTCCCGGTACATGTCTGACAGAATGTAGTTGATTAAACTTAAGCTTTAACATTATATGTACGATATCCAAAACCATACTATTTGAAAGATACATACTATTGTGAAGTGTGCATAGCATTAAATGTACAACAAGAGCCATATTATTAAAATAAGCAACTGCGGCTTTCCAACATTCATAATTTTGCCTTCTATATATACTTAAAAATGCATTTCAATTGCTTAAAGTAACCAGTAGTTCGTGTGCAATGCTTGTCCTTAGTACTTGTAACGATAAATAGCGACGCCAGCAACTCCAATTAATATCGAACCCATTAGATAGCCAAGCAGCTTCAGCTGAAATTAAATATGAGGATAAGCACATTGTTTTAAAAACCCTATTTAGGTATCTTACCTTGGAGTTGTCTACAAGTGGCTGCTTTTGCCTGGTGGCAGTCTTCTGCTCCATTTTCTTGGCTTGGCCTAGCATCTTCTGATACATCTCCTTTTCGTTGTTTTCCTCGCGACGTGCCTTGATGAAAAGTCTGGCCAAGTCCGATTGAACGGCTCGATTGTCAGGTTCGATAGTAGCCACCTTTTGCAGTAGTTTAATGGCGCCCTGGGTGTCGGCTTTTCCCTCCAGTATCTGCAGGGTAATTAGGCATTTAGTAAACGGAAAAATTTGGTGCTGAGCTAGCCACTTACTCTGCCCTTGCGGTACAAGGCTTTGGAGTTGTTTGGCTGGCATCGCAGCACATGCTCTACAGACTGTAGAGCTGCGTCAAAAGCAGCAATCTTGATTTGAGTCATTGCCAAGTTATTGTAAACTATCAACCGATCCTCAAGCAGGGTCTGCGTGTCGCTGTTCGAAAGCTCCAAGTCTTCCTTGTCGAACTCGGCCTCCGGATCGCCATCCCGATTGTCCAGAAAGTCAAGAGCACGTCTGTACAGGTGAATGGCGGTGGTGAATTCCGAGCGCTTGTAAAAGAAATTGGCACGTTCTTTCTTGCGCGTACTGAAGAGATGAATTATTTATTAAGAACCGAGAAGCAAAGAAAAGAATGTAACATACCCATATTTGCGCAGTATTTCAAAGCTCTTGAGGTCCGCAAAGTCTTCGTATTTAATATCCAAAAGCTCTATTTCGTAGGTAAGCTGGCAAAATCAAGCATTTCATGAGTTCTTTTTTTATGGAAATTAAAGTCAGAACTTACATGCGAATCGGGTGGCACCAGGTACGCAGATTCACCGTCTTTTTTCAGTCCTAGAGAGCCGTAGCCAAAGCGGGGATCCACGCTGACTTGGGCCACTTCGCCGACCTGCAGCATGGGCAAAACCATGTCCAATCCCTGGACGACCTCGTAGTCACCTACGTGACACTGGAAGTTTAACTCCTTCTCGACTACCGTGCCGTTGTCCAGTTTTCCAGTGAAGTTCACGGTGACCAGTTCGCCACGAATGGGACGCCTGACCGAATCCTGGGGTGCCTTCTTGATGGTGCGCTTAATCAGCTGCTTGTTGCCCAGTATATCACATTCCTCCTCGGGATCCTCCTCCACCGTCTTCGGTTCGTCTCCAGAAACAGATGCCGGGGCTGCGCCATCTCCGGCGGCTGCCTCCTCCGCTGCCACCTTGCGAATGTCTTTGGTGTCCTCGGCGTTGGTCAGGTCCTCGAAGGAGCTGCTGCTAGACTTCTCCGTATCCATAATTACCTGAACGAAAGTATGTAAATCAGTGGAACTCGGAACAAAGGGCAAAGGCAAAGTGGGCGGATTGCTGGGGCTTGCGGGTCACACAGGCACAAGCGATCCCAACTTACAGCAGTATCTGATTGTGGTCTCGGATTTTAGAAGCAAAAATTGTTTAATTTGATTTTAAAAGCAACATACGACAAGAAAGTTACAGGGAAACGAGAAATAATTTTACGGAATTCTGCCAGCTAGCCAAGTTGCAGTGTGCCCGTTTGCGGGAAATTCAACAATACCGCACCGGCAATGACTCAATTGTTAAAAAATTCATTACAGCAATACATTTTCTATATAGATATTTCGAAAATATTAAATGGCTACAAATACCCGCGTTTTTTTTTTTTTAATCCTAGTTACTATTTATTATTTACATATATTTATTTATATAAAGCAAAATTAATATTGAAATCTAAGGAAAAAATTCTGATATGACTACTAGCATCAATATAGATGCGTACTATTTATTATTTACACATATTTATTTATAAAAAGAAAAATGAATATTGAAATCTAAGGAAAACTAATTGACATGAGCACTAGCATCAAGTATTTTTTTTAAATATATATGTATGCATAAATTTCAATAAAAATAAAATAATATGAGAAGCTTATGTTCAGATTTAGTTTAATAACATAACATTTTGAATTCCAATATTTCAAAAATTTCAACAAAAAAATACCATATACAAATCATTACAAATTTGAAGCAAAGGTGCTTAGCAGAATTCCAGCTTAGGCTCAATCTTTCTCGAGTAAATGATTTTTACTTTAAAATGCAGGCCCATTGCACACACTTCCCCAATAATAAACTCGAGCAAATAAATTTTTTCAATGTATAGATTTATTCGTTAATGTTTCCTCTCTAATGCTTTCCTTCAATTGTTTGCGTTGATTGTAAAAAATAAAACAATAATCGTAATAAACGTTAAAACAAGTTGTACTGCCTAGATACGTAGTGCCAGAGTAAAGACCGCGTTTCATTTAATTGCTTTGTCACTGTCATATTGAAAATGCTTTGTGTGGAAGATGAAAAGCAAAACATTCAGGTTCA